CATGTGCATCTTTAAAGGCCTGAAAGGAAATAAACAAAACTGAACAAGTGGTACCTTTAGGAGTGAGCTAGAAAGGGAGTGCAAGGGCATACTGTTTTTTCTTATAATCAATTATGGTTTTCAATTTTAAAACTCCAGTAATACAAATAAAAACTGAAAGGAGGTAAGAGATTTATTCTCCATGACTCTAAAAGACAGCATTATGACCAAAAGGTGGTAAGATTTATCTTTTTATAAAGGAAAAAAAATAACTGAGTGTTTCTGCACAGAATGGAAATACCACTGAACTGGAGTTTTCAGAGAAATTTATTCCTGTATACAGGGCTGGCATATTCTAGGTGAATATAATATGGATAGAAATGTACCTTTTTTATTAAGCAATTCAGACACATGATCATAAAATTCAATTTTACAAAATGCTATAACAAAAAATAAGTTTCCTTCCCATTCTAGTCCTCTAGTCTCCATTCCATTAACAATTCCAATATCGTTCAAAATTTTCAGTGCATGAATCTTACCCCAAAAATGTTTTGTGTTACTCGAATATCTCAAGAGTAAATTGGTCGTGTGCGTTTTCTAGTACATAAATCTTTTATTTAGAATAAAATCATTTCTAAAAATCAAAGTTTACATAATCACTGCAACAAACACTGAGATCAGCCAGATTTCATTCTCCTGCACATGACAATCAATGACATCCTGTTTTCAATCTGCCAAAAACTGGGCTCGACTTAGAAACGTTCACTTGGCCACCTCCGAGGAGAAAATGCACAAAGAACAGCAGCCCTCTTCCAGAGTGGTAAGCTCCCTCCAGCTAGGAGCTATAAAAGCAGCAGTACAACGTCTTTCACTGGGTTGGAGGTATTATGCTGTGGATACAAGCGTCACCTACCGAACCAGGGGAGGCCTGCACATAAACGCAGAGTTTGCCACCTCAGATTGCCTGTCAGTCCAGTGCTGTCCATTTACCTCCTCACAGTGACTTATTTACCTATCAGAATGGAAAACCCTAAGAGTGCTCTTAGAAGGCTAAGAACTCAAGTTGTCCCCTTCTTACGTTCTCGTCGCCGCTAGTTCACTATTTAACTGAGTTCTTTAAGTGCTTACCACATAAAGGTGCAGTGGAAAGAAAATGAGAGTGCTAGGGTTCCCAATCCCACCACCACCAAGCTTACAGTTAGTTATGAAGCATGAGGGGGAGGGATGGGAGAGCATATTATAAGGTTGATGGCCGTAAGAGTCACACGACATGTTCAGGCTGTTGAAGGAGGAACAAACATGGAGAGTGGCCAACAAACTGTGCCATTTTCTTTGCCACAACTGTATCTGGGCATGCCGGGCTTTGCGATACCTCCTGTGCGATGGAGATCCAAATGAGTTCAACTGACTACCAACCAGTGCAACAGTGGGTGTGAACCGTGGAATGGGTAATCCAAAGCAGCCTTAATGAAAATTAGCCATTGCTTTTGGAAATGTACTCTGCTTTATCAGAGAGAGCTTATCATTCCTTATCATATTTTGCTTACACTGATAATAAAACTATTAAATATCCTGAGAACACAGTAAAGTCTAAAGAAATGCCTGTTCAAGACTCTAATGTGGAAAATCTGCAAGTGCATGGCGGACAGTTAACTGTAATGGTTTTATTATACTATAAGAACTTACAAACGTATCTTATAATATAAATCACTCTATCTTCATCTCAAACTCATACTATAGGCAAGAAAGTCTTTCTAGAACATCTGAAACATCCCAACTTGAGGACTCAATATCCTCTCTTTACCATCACCACCACCTTCAAAGGCAGAGTTGTCGCACAGGACAGGAGACTGCGTAAGAGGCAAAAAATAGTCCTCTCAACTGTAAAGGATTTGGGGGAGGCGGGTGATGATAAAGCAAACCGGGTACAGGTGCGGCAGAAACAAGTCAGTAACACTCACTTCGGGATCCTCTCTGCCTCCTGATCCCCTCTTTCACCCCCTATTCCAGGGTTTCTCAACCTTAGCATTATAGGGTATTTAGCAGCACCCTGGTCTCTCCTCACCAGGTGCTGGCAGAAACACCCCGCCCTCCCCGCAGTTGTGACAACCAAACTTCTCCAGACATGGCCGATGAACACTGTATTCAACCACACTTTTCTACTCCTTTTCTCCTTCTAACCTAAGCACCTCGGGCCTCAACAGCTTTACTTAGCTCTACTTCTGGACTCTCGGATGCAAGGAATTACTAATTTCTTCAGGAAGGGAAAACAGAAAGAAAAACACATACACTGTTCTTCCTATCGCTTTTCTCCTCAAAGAAGAAACGGGGGAGCAAACAGTTAATCCTCAGAATTAACTGCTATGTCTGGATCACACAGCACCAAGTGCTGCTGAGTATAAGAGACATGTGCATACTCAAAACAAACTTACAACATAACACAGGTCATATTTCCGGACATATTGTAAAAAATAGCAAAATGAAAACAAACTCACTCATCAAGTACCTACTATGTGTCAATCAGGCCAACAGAGCTGAATACTGCTGTACATTAGGCTTCCCTGTGGTACTTTTTAGAAGTTCCCCACCATAACCCTTGACTAGGAAGGATCCCCTGGGGGGAAGGGGAGGAGGCATTTCTGCAGGGTTGTTGGTGTGATTCTGATGTGCAGGCAAGGTGAGGACCACGGTACCAACACAGATCGTAAAGACACTGTCCACACACCCTCAAGGAACTGTCTAAAGAATTAATAAGATTAGGCTAATAAAAGTTATTAAAACAGAAGCTAGACGAGACAAGCAGGTATGTGTTGCTCCTCAAAGTTACAAGGTCCTCGGTGTAAGCCCTACATTTATGACCCCTTATCTCAACTTTATCAAGTTGCATAAGAGATATACTAAGGACAGAAGTATAAATATAAAGACACTCAAAAACTTGCTGAAAGAATCAACTAAGGTAAAAATGGGCAGGAAGCTAGAGCTCTACCAACTGCATCAGTTTCCTCTCCCAACCCTTGATGTTGAAAGACTATCCCAATTATAAGAGAAATACCGTCACGTTAAGATGATATAACATCAATAACAATGCTTAGTATTTATTATACTTTTGCATATTATCATAGTCTCCCCTTACCAGTAAGACTGCTTCTTTAGGGCAGAAACTGACTTACACATTTCTCCATCCCCCCCAGAACAGAGCCCAGTGCTGGGTGCACAGCAGGAACGCATGAAATACTTGCTGAATTAGTATCAGCTTAACAAACAGCAGAGCCCCACAGTGGGGATGCACCATTTTTCAAGGAGGTGCTCCTGTGCAATGTGACAAGACAAAACTTTTTGGTATTTAAATGCAAATATATGATGTAAATACAGCTTGAGTGCCAATCACTTAAATAATAAGTTAACTTTGTTCATGGTTAACTGAAAAACATTTAAAACCAATCAAACATTCCCTCAAGCTTGAACAGGCGAAACAGAAGTCCTGAGCACATGAACATGAGCAGAGGGACAATAAAGAGGTTGTTACTAATTACGCCAGACTGCAAAGCCAGCAACAGGCAAAAAAGCAAAACAGGAAGCTGGGACAGACGAGATGGCAAGCTACATACAGTCAGCTGTCCTGCGCTGCAATAGGGCTACGCGTGTAATTCCTAAAGCAATTCACCACGTTATTATTCCCCCACATGAACAGCTACTCCCTTTGATAAAATGAAGACCCCTCTCCAACTTGAGCTTTCCGAATCTGAAGGACAGGTCAGATCTATCATCCCAGTTCATGGTCCTTCCTCCCAGTCACTGTCATTCAGAAGGGACCTAAGAATGGGGACGGGGTGGTAGCAGGCCAAGTGCTGAGCCTGTAGGTGAGATTTAAAAGCCTTTTTTTTTTTTTCTCTCCAACTTTGAAATATTTGCAGATCATTTAAAAGACAGCAGCTGGTGAGACGGGAGATGCTAACAAAGTGGGTCTGTCTAGTGGGCAGGTAAGAGCTCACTGCCTGCTGAGGTAAGGCTGTACTGCACCGAGGTAAGGATCCCACGAACACCCAGCAGATCGTTCCCTTACCGCAGCACAGGAAAGCCTTTTTATACCCACGACCCCAACCATCACCAGTAATTAAATGCTGATGCCTAACTCTTTCAATTCTTTTTTTCACTTTATAAGAGGTTTTACTACATGGGAGAACTTTTCTCACTTTATTTTAATACATTCTAAACTAGTCCATCTCAATCATTAAACCATATTCTAAGACCATCACTGTGTCTCATAAGAATAAGGAAAGGTCACTATAAATAAACTCTAATACTGCAGGTAGGAGAGAAAGAGGCCCGTGTCAATGTGTTCTTCTCAGCACTGGTGTCTTTAAGGTTCCTCGATTGTGCCAGTTGACTGAGAAACTGCGTATAACTGATAGCCCCTGAAGAGCTGGGAACACCTCACATTCTAACGAGGAGACTTCTATCCCAAAATGCTGACCTGGAGGGTAGTACGGTAATACCAAGGAAATGGGATGGAGAAGGCCTGTCTCTTAAAACTCCAGCTTATGTATATATAGCATGTACCTCCATGGAACTCCAGCTTCTTTTGGGGGGCAGGGAAATTGCGGTTCCCTCTCCTTCAATGAGAAAAGCCCAGTTTTCCCACACTGATACTTCCTGGTCAATGAAGAGTAATACAATAAAGAAACAGAGAAGACTTCGCCCCCATTACAATGAAGAGTCTGATCAAGGACACCAAAGAACATTTTATGTTTACTAGTTGTTTGAATTTCATTTGTGAATTGCTTGTTCACATCCTTACCAATTTTTCTATAGGGATGGTGTTTCCCATTGATTTAAAATTTTTCTTACAAAGAACAGTAACTTACTGCAAATCTGTTACCTGAAAGATTGTTTGTGAGTATGTACTTGGTCATTTGTATGCGTCTGGTCACATAAATGCTGTCAAACATATCCATTTTTCCTTTACAGTTTCTGCCTTTGGAGCAATGTTTAGAAGGGCTCTTTACAGCTAGTATTAATACCTCTCCATCTCTTGAAATGGTACAAATCAATCCCCCTTTCCTCTTGACACTGACAAGAATCCATGCCACAGCTTTCTGCACTGAGCATATGTTGCTGAAATGAAAAAAAAATGTTTTGACACTAATGAATGCTATAAGAAAGGCCACTGATAAATTCAGAATACTTTTTAAAGCTCTGTCTGGGCAATTTAAATAACTTTTTAAAATCATTAAAAGGCATTCTTCTCTTAGTCCAATTAACTACACTTTTCTTAAAAACTTTTATCTAGAATTGTCAGGGAAATGCTCTATTTACAAATTCCCACACTTGATATTTCACAACTTCATTACCAGCATTCTCATTGCTTAACGCTTCTCAATTCATTTGGTCCATTTAGACTCCTTATAACCTGTGACCCCCCTTATCTAGATTGGATTCGATACTGTGCTCATTAACATTCTGGACCCTAAAATCACATTGATTTTTATAAATGTTATAAATAACATTTCCCAAGTGCTTTTTATGTGCCAGATCCTATGCTACGTCCTTGGTGTTTGTATTCTGTGTTTTACTGACTGTAAAAGATGCACCTCCTCCCCCTCTCCCATTTTAGCAACTGAAACCAGGAAACTTATAATCAATGATATCTCATGTCTAATTGACAGTTTTTTCAATAGTACATGAAATCATTATCTTACAATTGGCATCATCTTCGATTAGATGAAATATGGAAGTATAACTCATCTCATCTTACAATCAATCCTGAGGCTGGTACGCTTTTTTTTTAAATGAGGAAAAGCAAGGTACAAAAGTTAGTGGTAGATAGCTTTCCCAAAGTTATAAAAAGCAGTAAGGGTTGGGGCTTGGACTTCAAACCCAAGCATCCTGATTCTAGAACCTCATTTCTTAACCGATTTGCTATCCCTAGGCCAGAATCATCTCTACCAACATTTCCCTCCAATCTTACTACCTGGCCACCAAGTTCTACTAGAGAGCAACAAGTACCTAATCTTCTCTCCATCCACACTGAACTTCACTTCAGGTTCCCTTCTACTGCTTAGACTTTGAATTCTCATAGATTTCCTGGCACGCCACCTACAATTCTTCCAAAACTTCTCCAATATTTTTAATCTTCCAGTACCATCTGCTGACTTCCCCACCTCACCATCCCAATGAAAGGACCTGCCTCTACACTACAGGCAAAATCAGCACAGGCTGGCATGAGCTCTGCCATATGCTTCCCTTTCTAACTTGAACCCCATTCTGCTGCTTTCTCAGACAATTCTCCCTTCTTACCATGGCTAATATGTCATCGCCTGTGCTCCAGATCACTAACTCTCCCATCTTTGTTTTCTATCCATTCACTTTTGTCCAATAATAATAGCCACAGGTGGCTATTTAAACAGAAATTAAAATTTAAAATGCAGCTCTCCAAGGTTTCACTAGCCACACTTTAAGTGCTCAATAGCCACTTGTAGTGGCTGTCGTGTTGGACAGCGCAAATATAGAACACTGCCATCACTGCACAAAGTTCTATTGGACAGAGCTGCTCCAGAGATCTGCAAGGCTCATGCTCACCTCCCAAGTCTTCCCCACCATGACTGCCCAGCACGTCCCCCTTCTACCTATGCAAACCACCATGTCTTCCGATACCACGGTGGTCCTCATGTGAGTGTCTGTACAGCTCACTCCTGTATTACCTTGCAACAGCTCTTGGAATGTTGTTGCATTTAATCTTTCATTGTTATGTGTCTTCTTACCAATGATTAACCAGTGATTAAGCCACTCAAAGATAATAAATATTCACTGAATAAATTAAGCATACACTTATTACATTCGGCATCAAAATTATCAAATAAGGGCACATTTAAAATCCCTCTTCCATTAAAATGACACATTTTCTTTCACTCTAACGAACAAAAGATCTTGCATTTAGCTAAGTAATGACTTAATTTAATGTCTAATTAAAACATTTAAAAGATAATTAGTTCCTTTTTTCTTGTGGTGTTTGAAACTAAAAGAAATAAGCTATACAAGTCTGAAATACTTCCACTTTGCATAAGCACACCACAAAGAAACCACAAAAGATAGACAATCAGAGGAAAATGAATGAACAGTTTTAGTAACTATACTCTACCTGAGATTGTAGGAAAAAATACCTATTGTATAATACAGCTGCCCTAGAAATTCAGGGAAAACTACAAATAAAGCATTAAAAACTATGTATATAAATACATTTTTGAATTTAAAGCCAGACTCTTGTATCCTCCTCTTCCCAAACAAACATGACAGTCTTTATTTACATTCTGAGCTCAAAAGCATACAGACGCATAACTAACTGTTGTGTGGGTATGTGTTCCTTTAAATTCAGATTTGTTGTCAAGAAAATTAGTTAAGAAACCAATCTACACCAATACACACCTTGGTTCTTACAAGGTGTGTTATCAAAGCACATGGAGCTAATCTTGGTACCAAAAGTAAAACCAGAGCTTCCAGGTGCTGTGACCTCCTCCAGGTGCTGTGCCAGTGGCATATCTGGAGAGGGCATGGGAGCTCCACCTCCTCCCCCTGACCTTGCCCTATGTATTTCTTCTGTCTGGTTTGCTCCTGAGTTGTATCCTTTGTAATATACTGGTAATAGTAAGTTTTTTTAAAAAGAAAAACCACATATAGAAGTACAGAAAACACTTCATCAGCCTTAATGTTATTTTACAACTTAATATCAAACCTCTCTACCTTTTTATATTTAAATTATCCCTTTTCTCCTCAGATCTTTCCAATTCTCTCCCTAGTACCCCCTAGCTCCTTCTCTAAATACCCCAAACTTTAGCTTTTGGTTAGGAATGTGAGCTGTTTTTCTGTGTCAAGACATGAGATTCGTATAGCAGAATTACCTGATTTAATTTGAACTTTGTACAATCTCGGATCACCCATTTTCTAGTAAGGTCTCATTGATTAAATCAGACACAGGACTTTTCCATCTCTAAAGCGAAAAAAAATCAATTTTAATCTGTAAAAAAAATCTCTCTGAGGTTGTCAGACTTGATTCCTATTCAGCTCAAACAACGTTAGGTACAAAAAAATCAATATCATACCAAGAAATTCTTTTCTCCCCTCCCCAAATTACCATACACTGGATATGCTCGCACCAAAGCCTCAGGAACACTGTTAAGTGTGGTAGGAAAAAACAAAGCAGCAAATGAGAACATAACAAAAAGAGTGACACAGGTTCTGGCTTTCCCTCTTCCCATCACTAGGTGGGTGACTTTAGGCTAGTCAGCTATCTTCGCTGGGCCTCAGATTGCTCAACTTGATATGAACCAACTGGATTAGAAAATCTTCAAAGCAGCTTTTAACACTAAATAGTTCTATTCTCTGTAAAGGAAATCAAAAATCTTAATGTTTATGAATGCACTTAGCAAGGCAGTGCCATGGGTGCCCTTCACCTAAAACATCACGCAATTTGGGTACTTAAGTGAACACACAAGCCTACTAGGACATATAAGCATTTTTGGATTGGAGGATGGGAATGAGAAGAAGGTATAGGATTCATGGTTTCATCAGATTCTTAAACAGCCTTGACCAGAAAAATAAAATATGTTAAGAATGACCGAACTGTAAAGGCTATGCAAAAGTCAACATTAAATATAAAGAAAAAAATGCTAAGGAATTTGCAATAAACTATTCATATCTCAAGCTGCAGTGTTTACGAGCTAAGGGAAGACTCATTTTGATGAGATAAACTGAACTACTGGAACTTTCTTTTCAGTACCACCAGCTTATGATTATATAAGAAAAACGCAAGGGGAAAGTGGCAGGAATTATCCAGAGAAGCAAAGATAAAACTAAACTGGCTTTGAAATGCATTTTTTATGTCAGATTTATTCTTCCAATTATTTTCTGCATAAATATGTATTAACATGTTTTGTTTCTTTCAAACACTGAAAAGAAGATAACTAAGAAAAGCATAACAGCACAAAATTTGTCTAAAGGCCTAAAAAATAAAAGCAAAGTCATGTCTATACTGGAATAATAAAGTCCTACAGGCTAATGATTATTTGGGTATTCTAGACCATAAAAAAAACCCCAAAACAAAAAATACAGTTAAGAGTGAGGCTCTAGAGTCAGGCCTCCCTGTTCATATCATTATCACTAGTTATATAGCCTGAGGCAAGGCAGTGAATCACTCCGAACTCAGTTTCTTCACCTGTAAAATGTGACATGTTACAACAGTACTCAGGAAAGTTTTGAGGCTTAAATGTGATAGTGGTATTAAAAATAAGGAAACAGTAAAAACTCAGAAAAAAAAATAGCTACAATTATTTCTCCTACCCATAGCTCTGAGTCAAATTAGGACCCGTGATACCGATGACGAATATGCATAAAGTCAACCTCATTCTATCTAGTAGCTTCAATGGTCACATCCAATCCGTTTTTTAACAAGAGCAACTAGTTTAGTAGCAAAATTGACATCTCTTTCTCTCTTTGACCCCACAACTCATCAGCAGAGGTAACAAGCAGAGAAGTAGCTGAAAGATGAGTAAAAAGGAAGGAAAAGAAGAAATAAGGTCCCAGAGCAGCACTGCCTAATAGAACCTTGTACCATGATGGAAATGTTCTATACACACACTGTCCAATATGGTAGCCACTAACCATATGTGGCTACTGAACACCTGAAACGTAACTAGTGCTACTGAGTAGATGCATTTCTCTTTTTATTTAATTTTAATTAATTTCAATTTAAATGCCCGCATGTATTGGCTACCTTAGTGGACAGCACAGCCCTAGATGACCCATACATTGAATAAAGGTTGCCAGAAATCTAAGCCAAAAACAAGGGTCTTCTTTTGCTGAATTGTTCACATGTTCAATTCAAATATCTTTTTCACTGGAGACGTGATAACTATGACTAGATAAAGATATAACATGTCAGCAGATACAGCAATACAGAGCAACTTGGTGCTCATCATGGGATCAGAAATAAGAAGTATGTTGTCCTTTGATATTTTAGAAGGTTCCTAAGGTCAAGTTAAATTCAAGCTCACATAAAGCATGACCCAGTACGGGGATCAGAGCTGCCAAGGTCCTTATCAGCACCCCCAAAGCATCTGCCTCTCCACTAACAAATGGAAAGCTGCTTCAACAACACAGACTGGACATCTTTGCATTTCTGTTCCATTTTTTCAGAAATTCAGAGTTCTGTAAACCTTCCCCTCTTTCAGAAAAGCAGCATTCCTGGCCAGTTCAGCCTTTCCACTATAAACAAAATCCATGTACCACCCACCCATATCTGAAGTGTAACGCCAGACTCCTGCTTAGCTGCCCCTGTAATATGGTTTAATTATGATGACTGAACTAATAGGCTGACATCATAGACTTTTACAGGCTGACCCCATGTCATCCTGATGTATCATTTTGCACCAGTTCAGTGCTGTAAATCAATTTAAGATCTCAAGCAGGTTGAAAAGGCTGGTAATGATGCTTTCTCTGCTGTCTCTGGAGACTCTACATTATACACAACTTACATTATTTATAAAGCCTCAATGATGCCTCCATTAGCCTTGTAAGACTACACAAATGAGATCTTTTATACACACACAACTTGGCCTTGATTATGTAGGCAACTGCAGCTTAAATATACTTGTCTAATTACACTCAAGTTTATTCTTTTTACTCAAGTTTATTCTTTTTCCAATCCAACCAAGTCATTATATTTTATCTTCAACCCAGAATTATTAGAAACCAAAATTACAATCTGAAATTTAGTTTTTAACTAATGAATATATTTGGGAAAATGAGACTTACTTCCTCTTAATACTTTAATGAAGTTAGTAGAAAGGAATTAATTTTATTAAACTCCACGAGGTGAAAGAGGTTAAAATTTTTAATTGCCTAAAAACTGTCATTTCTCCAAAACGCAAAGGTCATCAGCTCTTCAAGGGTACAAAATCAAAGGGTACTGAAAAAAGGAAAAATGGATTTGGTTACATACCTATAGTTGAAGGGGTCGAAACTAAAGCAAGGACAAATCCCTACCCTTAGAAGAAACCCGAACCAACCTGGATCCCCCAGAGGCTCTGGCATCACCCACCTCTAGAAAACCATCTCTCAGGACCCTGGTTACAGTTCCCTAAAAATTGCAATATTACACAAACGTACACCACTTGCACAAAAATATCAAATAACTGCAAATGGGAAAGACGGAGGGAGAGGGGAGAACAAACACTTGAATCAGTTCAGCAATATTTAGGCCAGGTACCTACATCAGAAAAACACTGATGCAAAATATTTATATTAATTGAAAACGCTGGGGCAGTGAAAACGCTGCCTCCAATGCCTTTTCAATAGTTCCAGTACAGCTCACCTACCTCCAACAAAACATAAAGTGGTAATTATCAACAAGGTGAAAAATCAACACGGGCAGAGAAGTTTTCTCATTGTGTTTACTGAATGGAGGCATGCTATCCACGGCAGGCAGCTAGAGCGAGAAGTGTTCTAAAATAAAGGCCTTCAGTGATTTAGCTGCCGAGGGTGTCAGCAACAGGAAAGACATACAGAAATCACGCAACTTTCTGTTATCATTCCACCTAACTCTGAAACTTCAGATACAACGGAAAGAGAACATCAGGGGGGAGAAACAAGGCCAGCTGTCACGGCACTCACGAAAACGATGCTTTCTCGGGAGACGGTGCTGAGCCGCGCCTCATTTTCAGAAGGGAAACGCTTTCCTGGTTATCTCGCAGTGTCTTTGAAAATCGTATGCGCCTCAAAATAAACAAAAGCCGCACCACTGTAGTTGTGAGATCCGGCAGGCGTCGGTCCCTCCTCCCTTCCTAAGTACATTAAGGAAGCGCTCTCCCTTTAAGCCTTCCCATATATTAAGCAACTAGAAAAACAAGCCCCCGTCTCTCTCTCTCTCACACCCACCACCCCCACCTTCTCCAGAAACAGCCCCGAGACACCCTCACAAAGCCAGCGAGCGGAGTAAAAGAACAGTTGTTCAACAGCGAACTCACAAATACACATGCAGTGAGGCAATCGAATCCGGTCAAGGGAAAGGAATGAGACGACACTTGGAGACGCAG